CCCGGGATGCGACGCTCGCGGGCCACCCTGCCCCGAAGACAGCCGAGCCCTTTGGCCGCAGGCGGTGCGGGCGCCGCTGCTGCAACTCCTTCTCGACAAGGGGGTGGTGCCTGTGATCGCGCCGGTCGCGACCGGCGCCGACGGCACCTCGTACAACGTCAACGCCGACACGATGGCGGGCGCGATCGCGAGCGCCCTCGGCGCAGCCAACCTGCTGCTGCTCACAGACGTGGAGGGTGTGCTGGACGCGGCGCCGCCCGAGGGGAAGCTCGTGCCTCTGCTGACGCCCGGCCAGGCGCAAGCGTTCTGCGACGAGGGCGTCGCCGTCGGCGGGATGATCCCGAAGCTCGGCACCGCCATAGCCGCCGTCCACGGCGGCTGCGAGACGGCCGTGGTGATGGACGGGCGCGTCCCCCACTGCGCGCTCGAGTTCCTCTTTGGCGACGCTCCCGTCGGCACCGCCATCAGCGAGACGAGCGAGCGGGGATGGGACGGGCCCTAAAGGGGCGCAGGAGGCGGTGGCCGGAGCGAGGCTGAGGCCACTTTTGTAGGCATGCGGTCGGCACATGAGAGAAACAAGCCTCCCCGCCTAAAACCCAAGAGTGCAGGAGATCGAGCGCACATATACAATGTGTTCAGTGTAGAACAGGGTGATTTTCGTAAAGTAAGGCACTCTCAAATGAATACGGAAGTAATAAATAAAAAATAGAGCAGTCATCTCCAGGAGAGATGGGCGACGCACGACACACAGAGGCACACAGTGCGCACCCCGCCCCGCTCACAGCTCTGGGCCGGCGCGGGGGGCCCAGAGGGTGTCCATGCGGGGGGGAGATGGGGTCCCATGGCCCGCCGCAGGCGCCGATTTTTTGGAATTTTTTTCTTTTTTCGCGATTTTTTACTTGTTTTCATGGGAATTCGGCGTACTTGCGGCCATGCTATCACGCCTTGCGACAGCCTGTCGGCGCAGCTGACCATGCCATGATGCACAATTGATCACCTGCATAGCTCGCGGCCTTAGTATTAAGCATTCAGTGACGACCTGATCGTACGGCCAGTAGGAAGGTGTCCTTCCAGCTGCGTGCACGCTTCTGGCGCAATGCGCGTCACCTCGGATGGGCTGCTGGCACTCTCGAGGCTATGCCTACACAGCCTCGCGCGCATGGGCAGTCAAGAGGGACCACGCACCTTCTCAGGACAGCGCCGGTGCCTCTCTCTTGGACCGGCAAACTTGGTGGTCTCGTGTCACCAATGTGGGACCAGTGCGGCATCGCGCCATCGACAGCTCTGAACTGCGCCCCTCACCACTGACCGGGAAGGCCGCCAAGTGGGCCAGCACAGGTCGCACATTGTGGCAGCAGTCAGCAGTGCATGGCTGATAGCTAGAGCAGCAGCGTCAGGGTCGCAGGGTCGGATCGTGTCAAGCCTCTCGCCCGGCCGGCCGTGTGCAGACGTCGGCCTGTCTGCTGTCTGGAGTGATCTGTCGGCGGTCAGTACGACCGATCAGGTCGGAG